CTCGGGTAGTTAGGGGAATGGTGCGCTAAAAGTGCACATTGGGACTGGCAGTGAGAATCTTTTCTGCAGAAAGGTACAACCGGAGGACAAGGATTGTCGGACAGACCTTCTTTGGGAGAAAACGTCCGTGGTCAGAACGACAAAATCTTAGAGTCGACTTCGGCATCCAGAAAGTCGTCGTGTGACGACTGACCTAAGTTCTGCCGAGATATGAGCGATCTTTTCATGACCACAAGACGGCAACTCCAGGAAATCGAACTTTCCAGACTTCACTAGTGCTTACAGTCGGTGGCCGATTTGTTGGCATGTTAGCCGGCATTCCGAAATGTGTTTTGGACCAGTAAGGATAGCATACGTGCGGCTTTAAGAATTATAGCTTTGTAGTATAATCGCGTTATGTGGCAGACAGGATAGGTTGCTGTTATTTGAATGCACTTCTTTTCGGCTGTCTACAAAAACCACTGTCGGTAAAAAGTACTGCTTAATTACGATTAATTTTTTAATAAATTTTCTATTGCTAAATGGTTGGAGCGTTCGGACTTCTGATTAAAAGGTTGCGGGTTCAAACCTTTGAGTGGTGCAAAACCTGGGATTGAGTATGACTGGCTGATGGCGGTTAATGAGCCAGGAATGGCCATTCCAGTCTCCCTTGTCTTTGCTGACAATGCTCATCTGATTATCTATGCCTCCATAAATTCAAAATCTTTATCAAAACATGTTCGAGAATATTGGTTCTTTTGCTCGTTTGGTAGCCCGGCAGGTTTCCTTTAAGGTCTATAGCCAAAGTTTATACAAAGCGGGAAAATTGAGGTTTTAAGATGTCTTCCAATGCCCGAATAATTTTGAGTCCGATTAGCTTTTGCATTGACATTTGGAGTTTTCGGTCAACAGGCTACATGCTTTTCGTGTGAAGAAAAGGATAAATTCCTCTATGCCCTGAAGAAGACGCCATAAAAAGTTGCAGTGGATAAGGATTATATTGTGTACTTCATGAGGAGTAGAAATAAACAGGTGGACACGATTTGTTATGAATGAACATTAAATGGTCTTAAAAATCTTGTAAACGGAACCTTTTTGAAACCACAAAATAGCCTTTCTTAGAGAAAAATATTTAGAAGAGATAATTGGCTATAAAATAAGCATAACCAGTGATATGCTGTGCTTGTTTAAGATAACACCTGTGTGAACTTATAAGGCAAGCGAAAATTGGTAGCAAATATGCAATATGCTAAAGACCTTTCAGTGATGGGACTTGCAAGTACATAGGAGAAATTGGATGGAAATTGCAGATCCGCTTACATGACCACAAACTGGCGGCTCGGGGTTAGACCGAAACTCACAGTATGCAACTCATATTGGCGAAACTGGACATACTTTTGATATTTAATGAGTGACTATCGTAGGCCAAGGCAACTCAAAAACAGAATGATTCATACTTGAGGCATGGTATGTAGGAGTCAACTTTATTAATGGGTATTAAGACCTCTTGCAGCTTATAAAGTCTAACGTCATTACATACGTAAGGACCAGCACAAGATGGTCATACTAAACTTATGAAATGCGAGCGAGTACAGGACAACGACGAATCCGTCCGCAGAGCAGGCAGACTTATGAGCATCCTCCATGGAGGTGACGATGCGTAAAACCAGCGGCCGTCAAGCCCCACAAATATCCGTCAAAGGACTGAGAGCACGACAGATTAAAAACTACATCAGTCTAAGGACAGATAGTAGACCAGTCATTGACATCGTTTCACCGATAAGCTGGAATTAAACTTTTTGGGAATGGACAGTCTACCAACCTCTACGAAACTTCAGAAACAATATAAATCTGTTCCGGTGAGCCACTTCAGTTTCTCAGGGTATGTATGTTTATTATGTTGAGTGAGGAATTCAAAGTGGTTCATAGTTTCTTCAGCTGATTGGTTCAATACGGCAAGCCACATTTTATCTAATGGCCAAAATAATGCGCAATATCCTAGTGAAGATGAATATCGAGGATTGTGGGTAGCATTTAGAATTTTTTAAATTTTGTAGACTAATACCCCGAAAGACTTAGTTAACGTCGGACGGAATTAACAAAAGTTTTCATGTGACCCACGCACTCGGTCTACATCAAAGAGACAAGCCTAGAATCAAGTACCGGTGGGATAAGCGTATTTTTCGGAAATAGAACAGTCCAAGCAGACGTTTATTCGGGGCTGTTTTTTGCCGGCAATTTTTTTTTCATACAGACACCAGAGGCTATTTGAATCTCAGAGCCAATCATCCATGCCGAACTTACCAGGACCCTTCTTAAGGAAACCTCGATGCCATACCACGTCAGCACAACGTCTCGCTGCCTCGAGGTACTTCTCATCGCGCCAAAAACCGTAAGCTCGCGCGTAAACGTAAACTGCTCCTTTAAAATGAACGCAAAATAAAGAATACATGAACATTCAATAAAATTTGGCATCATCCGTAAATCCTCAACCGAACAAAGGCCATTGCACTGGTTGGTTTTTCTCATTTCTCTTTCACGCAACCAGACGGTGATATAAGTGGACTGAGTTTCATGGTGTAAAATCGAATTGCATTCAGGTTTTCCTGAATTTCTCGTACCTGCCTTGTATGTATATCCCCGAAATTTTACTGGAGACGTTTCATAACAGGTGAGAAATAAAGGAAATGAATAAAACCGAATCTTCTGTTGAGTTATCAGGATACATATTTGTTAAAATGAATTTCCCTCAGAAATTTTCGACATTAAAAACATTTGGGGGTCTACAGGCACCCAAAAATCAGCGCGTATCGACTAATCCTTCTGAAAAAACGTTTAACTTCCCGACTTTTCAACGGGGGGACAAACTGGTGAATAGAAAATGCCTACATGTTATACAAATGATAACAAAGCGCCAACTAAATCAAACATGTGCCTGACTGTTGCACATAACTGGATAATTGCAAGAACTTCAAAGGCCCTATTGGAACGCCAAAATTCCCAAAAAGAGTCTATCGCACGTCTAGGCGCCGCCCACGTTGCGTGCATTGAACGCGTGGGTGACGGTGTCCTGCACTGGCTGCGGTCCCAGTGCTCCTGTAGGCTCTGATTGGGCCATGCTTGCGAGAAGTTATCGATACAGGGCGACTGGAATGACCATTTCTGTATTATTAACAGTCATCAGCCAGCCACGCCCAACCCCAGGTTTTTGCAACACTTGAGACTCGGACTTGCGAATTGTTGGCTAGAAGTCCAACGCCCTAATCATTGAGCCGTGGGTTCGTTATCCCGTCGGACAGGTCAGGAGTTCGAGCCGTGGGTGCTGCAAAATCTTGGAGTCAGGTATGGCGAACTGATGGCTAATCAGCCAGAAAATTATCATTCCAATCCCTCTTGTCTTTTTCGGCAATTTCATTCTGTTTATATCACTGGCTGCTGTGCGTCTGCTGGTGGGACTCGATAGTGAACCCCAAGGCACAAGGGAGCGAGTACGTCCCGTAGCACGATCGGGGGATACTCCTCTAACACTGCGAGAATTAGATCAGCTTTTGAAGAACCGTCTTCTTGAAGTGGATTGGACAGAATCAAATCCAACCTGAACAGAGTGCTAAAAGAACAGACATTTTTTAAAATGACAATGGCTTGCTGATTTTTCTTACATTTTCTCCTGACCGAGCATGTTCTCTTTCTTTGCCACGTTGGTCTTCGAGACAACAGTCGAGCGAGCATCGTTTCGTGCGACTTCGGATAGCATGTCGAGTCATAACGGTATCCCAAGTTAAGGAAGCGTAAAATCCTATCGACTTCACTCCAAACACTCTGCTTATTTACTTTTAATAGACAGCAGGGACTAAAGCTGACCTGCATCCCCGTGACACCAGTGCACCAGCTCGTGTCG